TATTTACACCGAATTTGAATATTTTTCTCCCCTTCCCTGCTTTTCCAAACATACACAAACATATCAGTATGTGTAAACCAGCATGTATGTGTACGTATGTCTGTGTGTGTGTATGTATGTATGAGTGTGTGTGTAAGGGAGAAGGGGGTGTATATATGTGTGTGTGTGTGTGTGTGTATATGTGTGTGTATGTGTGTGCTAATGTGTACATGTGTGTATAAAGTGTGTTTGTGTTGAGATTAAAGGGTCCTTCAAGAACTGAACATACCAGTACAACACCAGCACTAGCAGACGTTTCACTCCGGTTTCCCCGCCATCGTCCCCAGGTCCGCTCCCTCAACGTCGCGTCCAATCAGCTGAACGAACTGCTGCTGCCAAAGACCTTGACCCATCTGTACATCTCAAACAACCCTCTGACCTTGAACTTCATGGACCACAAGTCACTATTCCACGTCATGGGAGACAAAGACCACATACAGTGAGTAGTTGGCGTACCATTAGCTCAGTTAGTATCATGATGGACTAGGGAGAGGATGACCCTGAATAATAATAAAACTTATAATAATAATAATAATCATATAATAATAATAGTAATAATGATAATGATAATGATAATGATAAAGATAATAATGATAATAATAATAATGATGGCTCTAGGTGCTTCACAATAAAATGAAATTGAAATCAACGTTTGATGCCTATTGGTCCGTTCAATGTACAACAATTTTTGGAATACATTTTATTACACCTGTTATATGACATAAAACGCTGAAGCTATACATTGACCCCACTTTGGTTGTGTTGGAAAATTTTCAACTCTCCACCAAGGCTTTCTGAGTAACCCAGAAAGCCAAACTCTCCCCTCATTTGAGTGGCGTTGGTAGCCTAGTGTGGTTAGGCTACCGGACCTGTAATCGTGAGAATGCAGGTTCGGGGGTTCGAGCGTCAGCTCGGTCCGACATTGTGTCCATGGGAAAGACACTTTACACACATTTCTCGTTTTCGGAGAAGGACGTTAAAGTTGGAGGTCTTAAATAACCTAATAGTGATTTCACCATTTTTTCCATCACCTAGATTCTAAAATGGCTCGGTTCTATTGGCCGGAGTTCATGAACGTTACATTTAGAGGAACCGCTTTTAAAATTATAACCAAATTAATTATCTTACAATGTGTAAAGGGGCGTTAATTTAAACATATACGATTTTGAATTCCGAATACAGGGAGTTGTTGGACATGAGAGAGTTTGCTCACAATACTGTCCTTGGGATATATAACAGCAGGGGTCTCGTCTTATTATGGTGGTCGGTAAAAGTAAACATAGGAGCCTCCTCCCAATCCGGAATTTACTTGATGTAAGGCCAAAGTGGATCACTGTGACGTCATGCACAAAAGCGCATAATGTAGGGGGTGGGTCGGGGTTTTGGTAGGGTGGGATGGGGTGGGAAGGGCAGGGGTTGAAGCGTTGGCTTGGTGTTTAAACAAAGTTGCTGTTGGAATAATAATTATGTTTCTATTTGACTGGTTTGGTCGGACTTCTCGCTGTGGAGAAAATTATACAGTTGGCAAAAGAAACATAATTACTGCAGCTCATCAAGTCCACGTGCAGCCTACCCGCTGAGACATTTTTAATTACAGCTGAGCCATTTTTAGACCCTCACGTCTAATTCTACCGAATAAAATGTACAAAAAAATTAGATGCACAAGATGGAAATCGATATATTTTTAATTTGTGACCAGCATAGTTAATGAAGAATTCAGCGTCGTTGACTGCGTGGAATATTTAACAAGAGTAGGCCTGCCGGGGGCACAGCATTGACTTTCCATCAACGTAACCACAAATAGCGGGTATTATTGTTGATCGTTTGTACTTGGTGCTTTAAATTTGCATACCCTGGTGAAACCCAAAGACGTGTATTGTAATATCCAAGACGGTGTAGTTTGACGTATATCCGGCTCACGATGGAGCATACAATGGAGCTCTGTTCGGAGCTAAATAAAGGGTAAGGGTGAAAGGTTGCACCCACTTTTGACTATTATAGTTATAGTGAGACTGTCGTTTTGCCTTTAATTTGAGCGCTCATGATACGCACCCAGGCAGCGAAGTTTTTTTTTTTTTGTATATAGAGAGAGAGCAAAGAGCGACAGACATGACAGGGCCCGGTCTAGGATATTACAATTCAAG